TGTCCATCTGGTGAATCTAGTCAGCCTATCTAGAGGTCTTTGTTTTATCTCTGTCAGCTGTTCCTCATCTAACAGCAATCAGTTGTCAAAATTCCTTTAGATAAGATTGGGGTCTGCTGTTCATTTTCCCAGTTCTATGCTGGGTTACTATCTAGGAGTCTCTTTGGCCACCCTGGCCAACAACTCAAAAGAGGGTATATCCTATCTGGCATTGTTCCTTGTTATGTAGGCTTTAGCTATGCATATAGACTCTTAAGAAATTGTATTGGTCCCTTTAATCTTTGGTTATACTTTCCTTTTGGGTGTTTAAGGTCATACAGTTGGCCCAGATAAACCAATTTATTTTGACACTTAAGGTCGTTTTAGGATCTGTTTCTCAGGGATCACATGGGCTTGGGAGGAGCCCCAGGCTCATTTCTTTTACCAGTTCCTCCTCTGTGAAGATAAGTCAAAGGTCCTGCTTGACCATGGTTGGCTTCACTTGGAAGCATGGAGGAAATGATTCCTCTGTGTTGACCCTCCACTGGTCAACTGGACACTGGTTCAAGTCCATCTGGTGGGGTCTCCTTGGCTCTCTTGATCAAGAGGACAGGTGACCCACCACAATTACAGGACATTTTGAGAGATGCTCATAGTCCCCTGGAACTAATCGACCTAGGAGGGCAAGGAGCAAAAACTGTCCTTTATGTCTCTCTGACCAAATTATTATAGGCCTCAAGGTATGTCTGTTAAACATCCAAGAAGGTTAGATCCACCAGTCTGGTACTTTTAATTACTGTGTGTCATGTAGATAAATCTTGGGCAAAGATATTATTCTCAGATAAACCTTACTGAGACATATATTTCTTGATCTGGTATGTATAATTTGTCAGTAGGTTGTAGGAGTAATATGGTTCCCTCTGGTTTTCAAAACTAGCTAGGCATTATTTATCTCTTGCATTGTCTAACACCTCCATCATGGTTTTCCCACTTAAGGTGCCCCCATTCCCCCCTGCCCCTTTGTCCCTTAATAATACCCTTCTCCTATGGTCCTATCTCTCTTGAGCTCCTTCTTTCCATTCATCCCCTAGATTTCTTGTATACCCTTCCCTCCCCCGTCCCTTAAACTAACCCAATTTTTTTTCCATATCTCCCTTATTAAGGCCTGTTTCCTATTGTTCTTTCAGATTTTTTTCTTTTCCTTTACCTCCCTGTTTCCTTTCCATTATCCTGGTTCCTGTAGTTATGTATGGATACGTACTCACTTATCAGGGTTTGGTTCTAGGATCCACATATGAGGGAGAACATATGCCTATTTTCTTTCTGAGACTGTGTTTCTTCACTTAGTATAACAGATTCTAGTTCCAAGCATTTACCTGCAAATTTCATGATTTCGTCTTTCTTTACTGCTGAGTAAAACTCCATTGTATAAATGAACCACATTTTCATTATCCACTCGTCAATTGAGGGACATTTAGGTTGCTTCCATCTCTTAGGTATTGCGAAGAGAGCAGCAACAAACATGGATATACAAGTTTCTTTGCAATAGGATGAGTTCTTTGGGTATATGCCAAGGAGTGGTATAACTGGGTCAAATGGTAGGTTCATTTGTAGTTTTTTAAGAGTTC